TAACTAGGTCAGCCTGTCACTCAGCCAAGGATTTAGCTCTCATTACATTACTTTACACTTTGCTATCTGGTAGCTGCCTCATTACCTAGCTGCATTCAGGTTAACACTGTGGTGGGTTCTGGTACAGATAAGTCCTTTCCCAGCAATGGATAGTGAACTAACTGTTTGCTGCGTTTCACAAATAAAAAAAAATCCTTAAATCGATGCAGCTTCTTAAACTACATGTCAAAAAGAATATCAGCTGTTCAATAAATGCAGCAGTGATTACTGATTTGAAGTTATTGTTTCCACAGAGGGGGGAATAAGTCACTAAATAGCAAGTAACAAGTAAGTCTTAAGTCTTGATACTTGAGTCCCGAGTCAAGCCTCAAGTCAGTACAGGCGAGTCTCAAGTCAAGCCTCAAGTCAGTATAAGCGAGTCTCAAGTTGAGTCCCAAGTTAGCATAGGCAAATCTCAAGTCGAGACCCAAGTCAGTATAAGCGAGTCTCAAGTTGAGTCCCAAGTTAGCATAGGCAAATCTCAAGTCGAGTCCCAAGTTAGCACAGGCAAATCTCAAGTCGAGACCCAAGTCTGTATAAGCGAGTCTCAAGTCGAGTCATAAGTCAGTATAAGCGAGTCTCAAGTCGAGTCCCAAGTCAGTACAGGTGAGTCTCAAGTCAAGTCCCAAGTCAGTACAGGTGAGTCTCGAGTGGAGTCCCAAGTGAGTCTCGAGTGGGGTCCCAAGTCAGTGTAAGCGAGTCTCGAGTGGAGTCCCAAGTCAGTATAAGTGAGTCTCAAGTCGAGTCTTAAGTCGAGTCCCAAGTCAGTACAGGTGAGCCTCAAGTCGAGTCCGAAGTCAGTACAGGTGAGTCTCGAGTCCAAAGTCAGTGTAAGCAAGTCTCGAGTGGAGTCCCAAGTCAGTATAAGTGAGTCTCAAGTCAAGTCCTAAGTCAGTATAAGCGAGTCTCGAGTCGAGTCCCGAGTCATTACAGGAAAGTCTCAAGTCCTAATATTCAAGTCCTAAACAAGTCAAGTCTGCATCCTTCAGCTAATTTAAGTCCATTTCAACACTCAATACCTGCAATAAACTGCTGCACCATTTAAGGCGGAACAGAAAATTCAAATGTGAAGCTGGCAAAATAGTCAATTTCAGCCTCGTGGTCAACGTTGCGCTTGCTTTACCTGCAGAAGCTGTTAAAATCAATCAGATACAGAGAACTGTGCTTCTTTTGTTTGCTAACATAAGGAAAATGGTCAGTTCTCCTGGTGAGTTTCTCCAGTAAGACTGGAGTTTAAGTGTGCATTGATTGTGCTTCGCTTGTTTCCAGCTTATGGAGGCGAACCTGACCTCTAATGGTTCTCGTCTTCTGAAATACAATAAACAGAGCGTGAGCTCAGTGACATCTGACGACGTTGCTGTTTATTCAATTTTTGGCAGGAAACGATTCCATTCTTGTGAAAATAATTGACTGTGTAGAGTCCCGTCTGCAGTCTGACTCTCCACGTTTGGGTCTCGAGTCTTTGACTTGGACTTGAGCCTCATGAAAGTCCGAGTCATTGGTGCTGAAGTCAAAGGCGAGTCCCAAGTCTTTCTCGATTTTGTTGAGTCGAGTCGAGTCACCAAATTTGTGATTCAAGTCAGACTCAAGTCCAAGTCATATGACTCGAGTCCACACCACTGCATTTTCAACTGTATGCTATATTAGAAGAGCATTACTAATCGTTATCGTTAAAGTCGTTATTGTTAAAAGTTAAAAATCTAATTAATTAAAAAATATATATTTTGACTATAATCCAGGTGATATTATATCTCATACACCCACAACGCAAGGACAAAATCATCATCATCATCATCATCATCTTTAACCGCTTAATCCAAATAGGGTCGCAGAAGCAGTTGGGAGAGCAGAGAATCCCAGACGACCCTGTCCCCCACAACTTCCTCCAGCTCATTCCGGGGGACATCAAGCCGCTCCCAGGCCAACTTGGAGATATAATTCGTCCAGCAGGTCCTAGGACAACCCCGGGGTCTCATCCCAGTAGGCCGCACCTGGTAAACCCCCACTGGGAGGCGCCAAAGGGGGCCTGAACCACCTCAACTGGCTCCTCTCAGTGTGGACGAGTAGTGGCTCTACTCTGAGCTCCTCACCCTGTCAGTAGAGTGTAGCTGCCACCCTGTGAATAAAGCTCATTTCCCTGCTTGTATTCGTGATCTCATTCTTTCAGTCATTACCCAAAGCTCATGACCACAGGTGAGGGTCGGGATGTTGACCGAACGGTAAACAGAGAGCTCTGCCTTATGGCTCAGCTCCCTCTTCACCACTACAGTCTGGCACAGTGATGCATTACTGCTGCCGCCTGTCCCAGCCTGCGGTCGATCTCACCATCCCTCTTCCCATCACTCGTGAACAAGACCCTGAGATACTTAAACTCCTCCACTGGGGGCAGGTCCTTTCCCCTTACCTGGGGTGGGCATGCCATCCTTATCCAGGCTAGGACAAATCGCTAAAAATAGAACGGTAACGCACGTGTCACCTCTTCTGCTTATATCCATAACTATATAAAATACAACCCCATTTCCAAAAAAGTTGGGAGAATGTAAATAAAAATAGAATGCAACGATGTGCAAATCATGTAAACCATATTTTAAAAGGAAAATTCAATGTTGAAACTGAAAATGTTAGTTTTTTTTGAAAATTATATGCCCATTTAGAATTTGATGCCAACAACACATTTCAAAAAAGTTGGGACGGGAGTTGCTGTAGTTTTGAAAGTGAAACGTTTCCCCATTCTTGTGTGACATAGGATTTCAGCTGCTCAACAGTTCGGGTCTCCTTTGTCATATTTTTCATTTCATAATGCACCAAATGTTATCAGTGGTGACAGGTCTGGACAGCAGGCAGGTCAGTTTATTGCCTGTGGTTTTACATCGTTTTGCTGAAATAATCAAGGCCTTCCCTGAAAAAGACGTTGTCTGGATGGCAGCACATGTTGCCAAAACCTTTATATACCGTTCAGCATTAATGGTGCCCTCACAGATGTGCACGTCACCCATGCCATGTGCACTAATGCCCCCTACACCATCATGAATACTGGCTTTTGAACTGTGCACTGATAACAAGCTGAGTGGTCTTTAGCCCGGAGGGCACAGTGTCCATGATTTCCAAAAAGAATTTCAAATTTTGATTTGTCAGATCACAGGACACTTTTCCACTTCCCCTTGCTGATGTTTTGCAGGAAAGGCAGTGTGATTTACTAAAACCAAATTTATAAAGCACACAGCAATAAAAATACCATTATACAAAGTGACGGATGGCAAAAGATGGCAAAATTAGCCATTTATTGAAATAATGAAAAAGAACTAAAATGTGAACAAATTTAGATTTTTTTGTTTAAGTAACAGCTCAGTAACAACTTGAATATACCTAACATATATGTTGTCATAACAACAGTGATGTACAGAGTTGATCATGGACAAAGTCTTGCGATGCGAGCCCAGAGACGGGGGGACAGACCAAGAGCTACAGGCTGCAGCAGCGTAGCAGGATCTTCATCACACAACAACTTTTTTTTGTTTTATTTTTCTTCATTTTTGTGTTTTTTTGCCAACGACTTTAAAATTATATACATATTCTTACAGCATTTACACTGGTCAAAACAATAAGAACCACAAAACAAAAGAAATACAAAAAAAAGAGTCGACTGTCGTAACAAGGAACATTAAAGACGACAAACAGAACAGAAAAAAAACTACGTAATGCTGTGATGGTGTTGTGATACTGCTGGAACGAACGAGCCCACCGGAGCGGTGCTGACCGAGAGAAGCTGGACTTTTCTAAAACGAGGGTTTTCTGGAGGGGTTTATTCGGACAGGAAGGAGACTGGGGCCGAAACATGCTTCTGCTGCGCCTATTCACACCAAGTTATATACACATACTGGTCATAATGCATCATCAGAAGAGTTTAAAAAATAAACAAAAAACTAAAAAAGGACATCTAAACACACTGATGCTCTGCATTCATTCCCATATGGCTTCCTGGCTCAGTGCGCCCGAATTACGCTGACAAAAAACGGAAAGGAAACGGAACAGACACACCTAAAAAGGAGCTGGCTTCGTAACGGTGGTCTGACTTACAGAGGCAGAAAGAACGAGTCGTAGTAGTTGGTCTCAACATATTTCAACAGACACTTGTACCTTTAACGAGTTGCAGTAGCTGGAGGCCATGGGGGGCGGAGGGGGGTTTCGAAAGTGTTAAGGGGGTCATGCAGATTCCGAAGACGCTGAATGCAAAAAGCCACTAATGCCCTACTCGAGCTGGATTAGTTTTGCCTGGGGGAGCGCTGTAATTTAAGTGATTCCTGCCGATATCTGAGATTTTAATCCAGTATGAATCTGCAGTGTATTTTTTAACAGTCTGATTAATTGTGAGTGATTTTAATCCAGTATGAACCTGCAGTGTGTATTTTTTAACAGTCTGATTAATTGTGAGTGATTTTAATCCAGTATGAATCTGCAGTGTGTATTTTTTAACAGTCTGATTAATTGTGAGTGATTTTAATCCAGTATGAATCTGCAGTGTGTAGTTTTACAGTCTGACGGTAATAATTGTGGAGTGATTTTAATCCAGTATGAATCTGCAGTGTGTGTAGTTTTTATAATCTGACAGTAATAATTGTGGAGTGATTTTAATCCAGTATGAATCTGCAGTGTGTGTAGTTTTACAGTCTGACTGTAATAATTGTGGAGTGATTTTAATCCAGTATGAATCTGCAGTGTGTAGTTTTACAGTCTGACGGTAATAATTGTGGAGTGATTTTAATCCAGTATGAATCTGCAGTGTGTGTAGTTTTTATAATCTGACAGTAATAATTGTGGAGTGATTTTAATCCAGTATGAATCTGCAGTGTGTGTAGTTTTACAGTCTGACTGTAATAATTGTGGAGTGATTTTAATCCAGTGTGAATCTGCAGTGTGTCTAGTTTCTAACAGTCTGACAGTAATAATTGTGGAGCGATTTTAATCCAGTCTGAATCTGCAGTGTGTGTAGTTTTTATAATCTGACAGTAATAATTGTGGAGCGATTTTAATCCAGTATGAATCTGCATATGGGTATGTAGTCTGACAGTGATAACTGTGCAGTGAGTGGTGTTCTGTAATTGGCTGAACCGGAGCTCCCTCAGTAACAGTCCTTTTCCAGTCCACCTCACACTAATGGAATAACAAAACCCGCCAATAGGCAAGGCCATGCGGCATGTTGTTATTGTTAGTAAGTGTGCTCTATGACGTAATATGAACCAGGCTACCCGTGGAAATGTTGAGAAATCCTGAAGAAACTTTATCCCGTACCATTCGGCCAATCAAATCGTTTACAAATGACATTGCAGAGCCACCCCTAATTAGTGAAACTAATCCAGCTCAAATAGTGCTTAAAAAGAGCTGCAACCTAGGAAAAAAACAACGATAAAAGGCTTCGCCAATAAGTTCTTTCAAGATACCAATACAGTGCACCAATCGCTGAAACGAGCAGTTACTCTTATTCCATCTGTGCTCTCAAACGTGGGAGACTTTCTGAGACTCTCGCGCCTGCTTGATGCTGTAGAGCCATTTGATGACGCGTGCGTTTCTCTCCACTGCCGATATCCCGTACGGCACTCTTTCGGCTGGGTCGTCCTCATCCTCCTCGTCGTCAGACAGGCCGTCTTCGTCGTTGCTGTGCCGTGAACGCTCACAGTCCGAGCTGATCATGCTAGCGCTGCGAAAGTTGAGTGAGACGATGTCGGAGTTTGCTCGAGCAAAGCTTTCCACTCCAACTCCCTCGAGCTCCTCGGGGTCCAGACCGCAGTAGTTGAAGAATCGCTCTACGTCAGCTCCAGCCCTAGCATAGCGGTCACTCAAGTCTGACTTTGAACGGTGCAAAGAGGGCCTGCGGGTCACCGAGGTACCTCCAACGTCCATCTCCAGCTCCATTTCTCCAGGCGTTCCTACCATGGGCTGGTGGTCCAGCAGGTTGTCGTAGGCTGCCAAAGCCTTGGCGCTTGGTTTTGGAGGCAGAGGAGGAGCAGAGCTGCTGCTGCTTCGGGCCGAAGAACGGAACGGCTTCCCGTTACACAGCCTCCGGATGTCCGAGGAGCTTTGTGAAGCGTGAATCTGTGACCTTTCGCCATGACCTTCTCCCCGATCCTCTAATAGCCGCCGACTCAGGTTCAGATTGCTGCCACCTCCTTGTGGACTTCTCCGACCTTGCATTACTGCTGAGGACGGCACTTTTAGCGACTCTGTGAACCCAGATTCTGAAGTTTCAGAAGAGCGGTGAGGTGCCCAGCTTCTGGCGCCAACTTTGGAGGCTTTGGCTGGACCTTCGGACGAGGAAGAGCTGTTGAGGATGTTCTTGAGGATCTCCAGATTGAGGTTTTCGCGCTTCGTTGTGGTAGCACATGTGTCAGATTTAGCGTTGTTGTTGGAGGCCTTTAGGGCTGAGGAGGCCCCGAAGCCACCACTTCTCTTCACCGGCACTGGACAGACGGGTGGTTTTGCCAAAACTTGAGGCTTTACAGGTTCCTGCTTGGCATTGATGACTTCTTGGCTCTTCACATACTTCGCCTTGTCGGCTTCTAGCCTCTCCACCGCGCTTAGCCGCTTCGGGTTGGGCTCGGTCTGCCGCCGGAAGTAGTCCGGACCTTTATTGAGGATGCGTAAAGGCACGGCTGAGGCAAAGCTGCCCCCGCCTCCTCCACCACCACACTGGCCAGCGGCCGGCTTGCTATCTGCCTGCAGCGTCTCGGTAGGCATTTCCGCTACGTCTGCTATGTCCGCTGGGCTCCCGGCGGCCGCCGTGGTGGATTCCGCTTTGGACTCTGGGCACTCGGGGCCAGCCCGGGGGCACACACATCCAGCCGGGTGAGCGGAGTGTGGATATTAGCGTCTCCACTGGCCGTCAGCAGCCCGGTTTCATTCTCAGCGCTCATTAATTAGCCTCCTGGCCTTCCCCCACACCTGCTCTGCTGCCCTTTGTAGGAAAATCCAGGGGTCAACAGCGTTGGAGCTTTCACAGCAGCCTGGAGGAGAGATGGAGAATTGTAGGACGATGGAGGGATGGAGAATTGTAGGACGATGGAGGGATGGAGAATTGTAGGACGATGGAGGGATGGAGGGAGGGGGACTTTCCTCGCTACTGCTTTGTTCCTGGCCAATTCGGAGGATCTGAAACACAAAAAGACCAACCGTGTTAAAGAGAGCAGGTGACATCACAGTCCTAGCAACAGCAGGAAGAGCTCAGAGAATGGTAAAGTAAACACAGGAGACCAGCAGCAGAAACAGATTCACACATTTGTTTTTAGACCTCATCACATGCACTGCGCTGTATCTATGAGACCAGCCTTCATTCATTTCTATTCAAAATGGCCATTAAGTACATGTTATTCATATCTCAGCAGATATGTCTAAGGAGATTAGACTTTTATTAGTTGGAAGTTGAGTTGAGACTCAGCGCTGTGGGTCTGAAAGGATGTCTAGCTGTCAAGAAGAACCTCACTGAGAAAAGGAGACGGACACACCAAACAAAGAAGCTGAACGATGGACTGACCACCCCAGAGTCCAGACCTCAACACCACTGAATGTGTTTGATTACTTCAGAAAACGATCAACCAGCTTCTACGACTGAACTTTGGAGGTGTGTCTGCAGATTCTTTAAGGAACTGAAAGTGAGTCTCCTGAAAAGAATGGAAGCTGGAATAAAGGGAAAGAGAGACTCACTGACACTGAAACAGCTGATATTTAGTTGCCGAGTTGTTCTGTCATTTCCTGTTAGGCTACGTTCACATTACAAGCCTCGTTGCTCAAATCCGATTTTTTGCTCAAATCCGATCTCTCTGACACGCTGGTTCACACTCGTTTAGGTAAGTGATTCAAATCTGTCATTAATGTGACGAACCGGCGTCCTGAAATGACCCTCATGAGCTCATCCTACTCAGTAACGTCACGTTAATGAATCACGTTCATCATCAGCACAAACTAACGAGCAGAACGAGCTTCGCTGAGAAGATCATTAACTCTGATCAGCTCTCAGCTTCATTATTAGAGCGAGACGAAGGAGAAAAAGGTGAGATGAGCTGCTTTTCCACCGTTTACAGGCTTTAACTTCTGTTCGGCGCTGCTGCCATGGTAACGCTGAATAATGGCGCAGTGGAAAAAAGCACATGAATTCCGATCTGAGCATCACATTAAGGTCGCCTGGCCACGAATCGGATATGTATCCGATCTAGGACCACATATGAAAGTGACTCAGGTCGGATTTGAAAAGATCTGATTTGCATCCACACAGCTCTGAAAACATCAGATCTGAGTCACATTAGGGCAAAAAATCAGATTCGTGCCACTTCAGCCTGGTAATGTGAACGTAGCCTTAGATATCTTGATTTTGTTGATCCTGAAACTGAAAAAACTTGTACTTAAAGGCCATTTTGACTAGAAACTAAATAAACGAAGGATGATCTCTTTTGCACAGTATAATATGTCGTTACCTATATGTAATATGTACAATAGGTAATATATTCAAGCACCTCTAAGTAATACAAATCTGTCCTATATATATATATATATATATATATATATATATATATATATATATATATATATATATATATATATATATATATATATATATATATGTATATATATATACACACACATACATACCTACACACACACACACACACACACATTACATGTTAATACATAGTTACATATACTTGCAGTTATATGTATAGAATCCTAAGTATTTGGACAGTGACAGCACAGTCATACTCCAGAACAATATATTTGAAATGAAACAGTGACTATAGGGTTAAAGTGCACAATGTTCAACTTTAATTTGGGGGCATTTTCCCCACCAAGTATTATCCACTGTGCCTCAAAGCATTTGGTTAGACTGGAGTCATTAAGACCCTTCTGTTCGCTTTAAGTCATCCTGCTGCTGCTGCCAGTTTGTATTGCTCTGCCTCTGATTGATTCATTCTGAGTTTTCAGCGTCGGTGGCTGCCACTGACGCTCTTTTATCCTCATGTCGAGAGAAAACAGCAACTGAGTCCAAATGAAAATGCCGACATCTAACTGTAGGCCACTGGTTTGCTCTAATATGCATGAATAAATGATGCGATGACATACACTGAGGGCAAACAAGCATTCAGGCGCTTCTGTATGTGTTATTTAATATACTTCCACTGCATATATCCACTCAAAATGAACACACAACTACTTTGTGCTTATAAAATATGAATAAAAAATGTATGTGTGTATTAAAATGTAGAAGCAAAAGATTTGTTTAAATAGGGAAAAAATATTCAGACACTATATTAAAACATACATGTTTGTGAAAGTCAAGTTCTGCATATTTATGCAACAAAAATGAAAATAATGCTCTTGTGCAAGTTGTGCCTGGTGTCAATACAAAAGATGTTGCCACTGGTTAGGAAGATTTCATACAAGTAGAAATCCTGGTGAAGACGAAGATGCTTCCTGAAACTTCTCGGCTAAAAATGAAGCACAGAGATGCGCCTCTGAAATTGACTTTTATTACTGGCTCTTCTGGAACATCAAACTCTGATCAGACAAAACAAAAAAGAACTGTTTGGCAAACATTCAGCTCATCATGTTTGGAGAAAGAAGGGTTGCGCATTTGATCACCAAGAACTCCACACACAGTGAAGCATGATGGTGGGAGCATCATGATATGGAGCTACTTCTCTGTAAATGCTACTGGAGCGTTACACACCATCGAAGGACACATGAGGAGAGATGGACCAGGACATATTAAAGAAGAGTTTGATCTAATCGGCTAAGAAACTGAACATGAAGGTTTCAACAAGACAACCACCCCAAACATACAGCCGATGGTTTGCTAAGAGGCACAAGCCAGAATTGAACCACAATCCTGAGAAAAGCTATTTACTACCTTCTTACGGCTGTAACTGCCAACAGCACTTTGTTTTTGTATTTGTCTGAATATTTCTTTAAATACTAATTCTTGTTTTTTAACATGTATCTTTGTTTATGCTAATGAACACACCCTTTTTTATTAGTATTTACTGTATACAGAAAAATTCTCCAATCTTGTTCATTTTCATTTTTCTACATAATTTGAACACAGTGGCTGTGTCACAGTGTGAAAACTCCAAGATAAATAGAGCAATAAAAATGTTCCAAAATCACTTATGATAAAATCTCTTCATGTTAACTTTTATTAAAAGCAAAGTTTTTTTTTCCCTCTCCTGTAAAGTTTCTATGTGCATTAATATGAAGTAGATATGGATGATTCTGCTGACCTGGTCCAAAGTCAAAGTTGAAAACACATTTGGGATTTTAACTGATTTTGGACTTCAGACTAAAATCCTTTTGCTCTGAGTGACTCTAAACCTTAATTATGATTATTTTATCAAAACTAAAGACTGAACATTCCATTTTGTCACCACCAAAACAATCATAACTCTACCCAAACTGTACCAAATGTTTCAGTAGTGACTGTTTCGGTGACAATTTTAGCTCATTTTGAGCTCAAAAACGCAGACAGTAAACCAGCAAACACAGCTCTGAACAGCTGTTCACACAGAAAATCATCATATTTTACATTAAAACACTAAAAAGTGCTGAACTGCAGAAAATATGGCGATTCTTAATGTTCCACACTGATTTTCAGACTTTGGGACACATTTACTTCAAAACAATGGGATCTAACTGCTCACCATGTGGCCATGAGGGACAGGGCATGCAGCCTCACTTCCTGCTCTAAAATGCAGGGGCGTGGCTAAAATAAGGCTCCCCACAGACCAAAACTCTGTGTTTCGGTAGTGACATGAAAACGTGGGTCAGCATTTTTTGAATAAAATTTTTAATTTAAAAAAATGAGCTCATGACAAATCAAAATATTTCAACTTGATTAAGAAATCAAAACAATCTTTATAAAGCACTGAAGAAAATGTAAAAATAATGTAAGCATTATTTTGACAAGTGTAATTTTAGGGGTTAGGATTTGAGGACAGACTCCTCCCATTAGAAAACACCCTATAAATTTATTACAGTCTCTATTAATGTGTTAAGTTTAAATCGTTTAGAACATGATCCTCCTTAAATATCTAAGCTCTGAATACTTTGTTGAGTTTTTTATTGTAGGATCTCAGTTTGAACTCACACAGCCAACGGTTCTTGTTACAGTGGAGGTTCTCGAGGGGATCTGGAGCTCCACCAAGCTGCTGCTGTTGTTAGTTTGCTGCTTGTTGATTTATCCATAGTTCTCTTGTGTCTGTCCAGCTGAGTCTGCGGAAGGAGCTGAAGGTTTCACTTTAAAAGACATTTATTTGACCGAGAGCGCTACAATCACAGAGTCTATCAGAGTGACATACAGCGCTGCAGCTGGATTTCAGCCTGCAGTACTGCAGATGGGTGGAACTGACAAAATGCACCAACAATGTTAAAAGTATTAGCAGCAGTAATAACTGATCTATTTATACACCAATCAGGCAGAACATTCTGACCACCTCCTTGTTTCTACACTCATTGTCCATTTTATCAGCTCCACTTACTATATAGGTGCACTTTGTAGTTCTACAGTTACAGACTGTAGTCCATCTGTTTCTCTGATACTTTGTTAGCCCCCTTTTACCCTGTTCTTCAGTGGTCAGGACCCCCATGGACCCTCACAGAGCAGGTACTATTTGGGTGGTGGGTCATTCTCAGCCCTGCAGTAACACTGACATGGTGGTGGTGTGTTAGTGTGTGTTGCGCTGGTGTGAGTGGATCAGACACAGCAGTTTTTTTTTTTGAGTTGCAATTTTTTCATAAGCACAAATAGTCACACTTCAAATGTTCTCCAGTAAGTATAGCATTATGGATGGGACAAAATCTCCATTTTTAACATTTTTTTGATATAATCTGGAAACTCCAGTTGTCATTTACACTCTGTGATGAATGGACCAATAAAATGCTCCAAAATGCCTTAGAATAAATCATTTCTCCATTAACTTCGATCAAAAGTGAAGGATGTGTATTATTATGATTATCATCATCATCATCACTGTTATTTTTCTCCCGCAAAAAAGAAAGAATCAGCCCATCATCATTTGTGGGAGCTGACGCAGTGGGCGTACGCTGTGCACTCAGAGTAAAGACAATGCACTCCAAAAACAAGGAGGCTCACACGACCATCATGC